TGCTAGATATGAAAAACAGCTATAGGGGGCTGGGGATTTAGCTCAGCGGCAAAGCGCCTGCCTGGCAAGCGCAAGGTCGTGAGTTCGGTTCCCGGAAAAAAAAAAAAAAAAAAAAAAAAAGAAAAACAGCTCTCTGACTACATACAAAGGACTTCCTCACAAACTTCCCACTGCCCTTCTTTTCTATTAACACCAACCAAGTCACTCCTCATCCCCTCAGGGTTTTAGCTCCTGGCTCTCCACCTTTCTGTGTCAGTCATCACTCTTAGTAATTCAACCCACAGAAGTACTATCCACATTTTAAACTGGACAGTTCCTTGATCTCCTTCACAATGTGAAGGTACTTCTTCCTCACTGCAGGAACTCATCGGTGTAACTCACATTCTCGGCCACACTCCACTCCAAGGGAGGTGGGGTGGCTTGTCTGATGAGTGAATTTGAGAGGAATAAACTGGGCATACTCAGTTTAGTTCCCTCTTCTTCTGGAAGCAATTCCTGCCCACCTGCAGAAACTAGGTGTTCTCAGCTGCTTTGTAACTGGTAGATGACTGCTGAATTTTGGGATTTAGTTAGAAGAATCATTTGGTATTCTCATTAAGCTACATCCTCTGGTTCTGATGCTATTAGTAATAAAAGGCCTGTTTTGGCCTTTATCGGACACTCCAAATGCCTCAAAGCTGTCCAAGCTCTCAGGCAGGAAAGGACACTATTATGCAAGCTCTCTATCCCAATACTTTTCCTTCTAATTATCTCACACACAATCCCCACTGGCCCATTCCCAAGGTCATACATGGGTCAATATTTGCAAATATCCTGATGAGAAAAGGCATCTGGTATGCTTATCAGTCTTTCCTGGAAAGTCAAATTTAATGGGTCTAACATGAGGCCTGGAACTGTGGGTGATTTTTATCTTTAGGCAAGCTTAGATCCTTGCCAATCACCCAAGGAAGTGGGGGATTAGAGGGAAAGGACTCTGAAGAAACTTTAATAATTTAATAATAAACAATAGAAGTCAGTCAGTCTACTTCCTACAGTATGTCTAAACAATTCCAGAGGAGCTGGGGATGTAGCTCAGTGGGAGGGCACACGCCAGGCCCTGGGTTCAAGCGCCAGCACCAAAACAAGTAATTTCAGGTATGAAATCCTTCCTCCCCACAGAAAGAATCCCCCTTGTTGCACCTAATACAACCCCTTCTTCCTGTCACCCACCCACCCACCCACTTTGGTAGGCCAACAATGACAGTTCTCCTCGGAAATCTGATTTCAAGCATGGAGCTGACCCCTCATCCACCTTTCCAGGACTCTCCCTCTGGCACTTGATCTCCAACAACACTGCAGCTACTCCAGGTCAGAACCTCTAATCCACTACTCTTATCATTTTCCACAGTCCTGAGGCCTCTTCAGGGTCTCAACTTCCTTCCTTCCGTACCTTACAATTGCAGTGTTTATTTCTTTGAGAACTCCCTTAGCAAAACCCCCACCCTGGTTAAAGCCTCCTTTGCACCTAAGCCATTGAACCCAACAGGAAAAGAATGATAACCATAACAATGGCCATAGATCTCACAGGACATCTAACACATTGCAGCAGTCCTGGCAGTCTCTTAGTAAATTTACTCCCCTTTCCCGTTTTTTCCCCAAACCTCCAATACCTTTCTCCACTGACTGACAGCCTCACTTTACAATTCAGTGAGAATTCAGAAAAATGCCACTGTTCCTCCATGCCATCCACTGTCTTCATCTGTAGTTAGGGATTGGCAGTACTCTTTTCTGTTACAACAAATGAACTGTCCATTCCCCCATCTCCCCTCCCTCAGGACCTCACTACTACTGCCCTGGACCTTCCCTTCTCAAATATTCAAAGACCAACCTGACCCGCCCCCCATCTGATGCTCAATGACGGCTTTGTATTTTTCCCAGCATGACCAACTCTCCAGCTTCACTAGTTATACCCTCCTTCCTGAAACCTTTTTTAGTTACCTTTGGTTTGGTTTGGCTTTGGGTGTTTTGATTTATTTTGTTCTGTTCTGTGAGAGTGGGCTCTCTACATGTAGTTCAGGCTGGCCTTGAGCTATGTAGTCTAGGCTGGCATCAAACGTGCAGTGATCCTCCCACCTCCACCTCCCAAATGCTGGGATTATAGGCATGCGTCACCATGCCTGGCTACCGGCTTGGGTTTTTTGGAAACAGTCTCACACTATATGGCCCAGCTAGCCTCAAACTCAAGAATGTCCTGCCTCACAGCCTTCTAAGTGCTGGGATTATACACATGCATTGCCATGACTGGCTTTTACTTGGCTCCTTCATACCTTCCAGGCTCCTCTTCACAATAGATGTAGATTTGGGAACCCTCCGGGCTTCACAATCTCCCTCTTCTCTAACTCTTGCCAGATAAATTCATCCAGTCTTCTGGTTTTGAATACCTTCTCTATGCATATGGCTCCTACATATTTATTGCTAGCCCAAACTTCTCCTTTGAACTTGAGACTTGTCTAATCCACGGGTGGTGAACCTATGGCACGTGTCCCACAGTGAGCTGTCTGTATCACTGAAAGCTCTAAAAGGTTTACCGTCACTAGACTCCAACTGCCTACTCAGCAGCTCTACACAAATGCTCAATGGATCTATTATCCATCAAGTATGAGCTGTCACAACCCCTTAGCCACACAACTTCAACCTTCCACTTTAGGAAATGAAATTACTAACCAAAAACTTGTAAGATTTCTTTCTTTCTTTTTTTTTTTTTTTTTGTCTTTTTTAGACAGGGTTTCACTCTGCAGTCCAGGCTGGTCTTGAACTCACTTTTTAGCCCAGGCTGGCCTCAAACTCGCAACAATCCTCCTGCGTGCTGGGATTACAGACGTGCGCCACCACACCTGGTTGTAAGATTTCCTGACTTCTCATACCCATTTTCACCTCCATTAGCTGTTCCTGGGCCAACACCTAAATATATATGCAATCCGGTCACCATCTCAACTGAATACTCCCCACAACAGCGAGAAGCAGAGCTTCAAAAAATTTAAGTTTACCTCCACAGTTCTACTAAAGTAAACAAATGAAAGCCTCTAATGACTTCCTCTTAACTCCTCACCTGGCCTTGGGGCCCCACTCTGATGCCTCCACCTTCTTCTCCCATTCCCTAGCTCTGTTCCCAGACCTCTTACAGTAACTCTCTTCCAACCATCTCAGAGCTTTAACCCAAGCAGTCCTTAGCCTGGAAGGCTCTTCCCCAAGTACAGTATCTGACGCAGCAGTTGGCACTCAGAAGATACTCAAAAAGCCTGGAAATGGAGTAGGGCATGGTAGTGCACAACGCAGCCTCAGCACTCTGAAAGGCTGAGGCAAGAGGATTCAAAGTTTGAAACCATCTTGGGAAATTTAGCAACTTAGTGAGATCTTATCTCAAAACTAAAAAAAAAAAAAAAAAAAAGTGGGGAAGTAGGTCATTACAAAGGCCCCGGTTCGATTCCCAGTACCATAAATAATCTGGAAACAGGCAAGGTTTTGGTTTGGTTCTGCTAGAGGAACAGAGAATGAGCCAAATGGAGGGAGCAGATGAATCAGGATTTTACTGCCAGTGAGGTGGAAGGCCTACAAGTTTTATGGGAGCAGGTTTTTCTTTTGAAAGGCCTCGCTGGCTGCTGCATGGATCTGTGGAGCAAAAGACCAGAGAGACTAGGGGCTGGGGATTTAGCTCAGCGGCACAGCGCCTGCCTGGCAAGCACAAGGTCGTGAGTTTGATTCCCGGTACCGGAAAAAAATCCAAAAAAAGACCAGAAAGACCTCTGAGGAAGGAGGCCAGAAGCGGGTGGTGGCTGTGAAGGAAAGTGGCAGATCTCCTCTCATAAAATGGAGACAATAAATACATTATCTATATACACAACTGTCCCACCCTGTTCTTGGGCCACCTTTGTATTTCCAGCGCCCAGCAGGGTCCAGCACAGAGAAGGGGCCAACAGATCTGTTACAACTGAATAAGGCGATTCATGAAGAGCTGGCATAGACAAGGGTAGCAAAAAACAAACAAATCTGAACCAAGTCCACCTCCCAGCCCTTAACAACAAGGATGCTGGGCGTGGTAGTGCACACCTGTAATCTCAGCACTTGGGAAGCTGAGGCGGGGGACTGAGTTCAAGGTCACCTTGGGGTATGCAATGAGTTCAAGGTCAAACTACAGAGAGACCCTGTCTTCAAATAAATCAAGACACCAAAAACAAAGATGAAAACAAAAAAACAATAATGAGGAAAGGACGTAGAGCAGTGTTTGCCCCAGGTGTGATAGCCGATCCATGACAGAGGCAGGACTGGCCAGGCTGGGCTAGCGTGTAGCCCCTTCTCAAGGCCCTGCTCTAGGGGACAAAGAACACTGTACCACCCTTCAAAGCTCCACCTCCTCAACTACCATCTGTCCCTCCAGCTAAAATAACTTTTTCAATGCCCTCATGGCAGCTGTGCTACCTCCTAAGCTTTCCATGCCTTCAAGAGGGGCTGACAAGGCCAGCTCTGGGACTGTGATTGATACCCAGGGGGAGCTGAGAACTCGCAGAAGTCTCAGGAATAGCTATCAAGAACAAGCTAAGAATAACATAAGATCCTCTCTACACCTCAAGTTTCTTTACCTGTGGAGTAAGGATACTCACCCCTAACTTTGCAGCATGTCTGGGGATTACAGAAGATGCCAAGTAGGCGAGGTCTAGCGCACAGCACGCCCTCGCTGAGGAGGGCGCCTTTCCTCCATCCTTACACTGCCAAGGTCCCCTATTCCCAATCCTTACCTCCACCCACACAACCCACGGCCCTGACCCTGCCCACCTCCAGTGTGAGCAGGCCCCATGCCAGCCCTGCATCTTGACTCACCCTTCCTGAGCTTCAGTTTCTCATCCACTCACAAGTATCAAGAGGCCACGCTGGTGGCTACCTGAACTACTTCAAAAAGAATCTGCACGTCTTTTCCTCAGCCTCTACCTCTGTACAAGGGAATGACGCCAATATCCAAAAAGATTACTCTATAAATACATACACATCACCAGATGATAAGAGATCGAGTGCTCCATAAACACCAGTGTCCTTTTTCCAGTTTAATGATGTCTTGGTTACTTTAAACACTGCTAGCTAGTCTCAGCTGGTTTTTACTGTAAATTCATTAGGGGTGTTGCAAGTGTGTTCACTTGTACATAATGATGTAAAGGTGCACTCAGAGGTCTACATGCTCTAGGTGCGAATCCTGCTCCATCCCTTCCCATCAGGAAGACTGGGCAAGTTACCTCTGTATCTCAGGATTTTCACGGTAAAGTGAGAACAGTCCCACCCCTGGAGCGCAGTAAGAATAAAATGTGCTAATAGAATAAAGCGAGAAGGTAGTGCCCATCCCACAGTAAAGGCTCAATGTGCGTTTAATTTTGGCCTTCCATCCGTGGGACAGCAGGAAAGAGCTCTCTAACCACTCGAAATTCTCTTCGAGCTTTTCTGCACGATTGCGCCTGCTTGCAGGTGGGTGACCCTACAGGTTGAGCAATCTGCCCAAAGTTCCCACAAGATGCAGAGCAGTGCCAGCCTTGGGCTGCCTTTCCACGCCTCTCTTTACAGCTCTTGCGAGAGCCTGTGCCCACGCCTGCCCTGCAGGAGGCCCAGAGAGGAGTGGGCTCCTGACCGGGACCACCCAGCCGGCCAGCAGGCAGGGCTGGGACCCTCCGGCAGGCTCCGGCAGGGGCGCCCCATACCAGGCCGCGGGCACGTGCGCGCCCCTCCACAGCCCGCAGGCTCGGTGCCGAGCGCACCACTAGCCCGCGTCTCGCAGCCCGCGTAGCGGCACAAACGGCGCGGGGCACGCCGGGACTCGTAGTCCGCAGGCGCCTTCCACCGCCGGTTGGCGGCGGCTCACGAACTCCAGCCCCCAGGAGGCCCCGCGCGCCCAGCAACGCGCCCAGTCTGCGATTTTTAGGGGTCCTGGACGCCCGGGGGCAGCCCTGCGGCCGCCACCCCCAGCAAGCCGCGGGCAGGGCGGGAAGCACCAGTCAGACAAGCCCGAGACGGGTGCAGAGGAGCCGCCGCAGGCAGCACGCCTTGGAACTCACCGACTTTGTAGGGCAGTTTGTCAGACATGCTGGCGACGCTTCCGCACGCAGGGATGGACTGGAGCGAAGGGGCCGGGCCTCGGAACTAGGACCGCTATGGGCAGGCGGGCGGGCTGCGCGGGACTGGAACCTGTGCGTGGCGCCCGCCTGTTTAAATATCTTCCTGGCGCTTACATATTCATGAGTCCTCGGCTGGGGCTGAGGCGCTGGGGCGGGGCCGGTGCGCGGGGCGGGACCGGAATGGACTTCGCCCCGGGCGGGGAATCGGGCCGCGTGCGTCTGGGCGCCAGGAGGACCTCAGGGCCCGGCGTGAAGCGACCGGGGCCGCTCTTCGCTCTTTCAGTGAAGCCCTTGTCAGGACCAAACTGAACTTTGAAATTCCAGCTCGCTCACTTCCTGAAGCCTCAACTTCCTCGTGGGTAAGCTGCGCAGGAAAATCAGTCGCAAGTTCGAGCCCAGCCTGAGCAACTTAGTGACTTAGTGAGACCCTGCCTCAAAATGCAAAAAGCTGGGGATGTACTTCAGTGCGAAGGCCCTGGGTTCAATACCTAGTAACCACACGCACACGAATAATGCCTACCACACAGACTGAATAGGTTGCGATATGTCACGCATCCCAGACCCCCAGACCTGCCCCTCCCCCAAGGTCAGCAGAGAGCCTGGCTGAATCCGGCTGATCAGCCTCAGCCTGCGATGCAACCCACCTCTTGGCTTTCGCTTTACTTACTGCCCTCCACACTTCTTCTTCTGGCATTAGAAACTTCTTCCAGAGCCTTGAGGTTGCTGTTTTGGGTTTTCTTGTTGTTTTGTTTTGTTTCTGTTTTTGAGACAGGGCCTCCCTGTTGCCCAAGCTGGCTTTGAACTCCGGGGTTCAAGTGATTCTCCTGCCTCAGTCTCCAAGTAGCAGGGACAACAGATGCACACTGCTACACCCAGCTCAATGGCTTAATGTTCCTTTTACCCCTTCCTGAGACATCTGACGTACACTCACGGCTTCTGTGACTGCTTATATCCCATGGATCCAGGTGTCCATGGAATAAACCAGTGCATTACCTCAGAAGTCACCTGTTTCCCTCCTCAATCACATACCCTTCTCCCCAGCCCTGGAGTTAGCACTACAGTGAGTTTCATCTTAATCATTCTTCTGCTTTTCTCCGTGAGTTCTACTGCCTATGTGCCTATCCCTAAATAATACATTGTTTTAGTTGGACATGCTGGTGCAAAACTGTAATCCCAGCACTTGGGAGGCTGAGGCAGAAGGATCAGGATCGTTGCAAGTTTGAGACCAGCCTGGGCTACAAAGTGAGCTCAAAGCCAGCCTGAACTGCATAGTGAGACCCTGTCTCAAAAAGATCAAAAAAAAGCATTGTTTTCTTTTTTTTAAGAGCATTTTTTTCTTTTTTTTTTTTTTGCTTTTGGATAAACAAAATTATACCGTATATATTATGGTCCTTATTTTTCTCAACTTTTTTTTGTTGTTGTTCTTTTTGAGACAGTCTCACTATGCAGTTCAGACTAGCCTTGACCTCACTTTGTAGCCTAGGCTGCTTTCAAACTCGCAAGGATCCTCCTGCCTCAGCCTCCCAAGTGCTGGGATTACAGACGTGGGCCACCACACCCACCTTTTTTTTTTGGTACCAGGAATCAAGCTCAGGACCTTGTCCTTGCCAAGCAGGTGCTGTGCTGCTGAGCTATGTCCCCAGCCCTTCTCAACATTTTTTGAGGATCATTGTATAGATGCTGTACCTCTGGCTCATTTATTTTGATCTATGTATAGTCCATTGAATAAATATGCAGCAATTTATTCATTCTATTATTGATGAACACTAGGTTGGTCCAGATTTTTGCTGCTGCAAACAATACCACTCTAACATTCTTTGTTTTTTTTCCCTACCTGTATTGGCGATTGAACCCAGGTCCTTAACACAGAGTTACATCACCAGCTCTTTTTCACTTTTTATTTTCTGAGACAAAGTCTCACTGAATTGCCCAAGCTGGGTTTACACTTACAGGTCTCCTGCCAGCACACCCAGCTCCGAAGTGGTTGCCTCTGGCTGGGCATGGTGGCACACCCCTATAATCCCAGCACTTGGGAGGCTGAGGCAGGAGGATCCCTGCATGTTCAAGGCCAGCCAGAGCTACATACCAAGACTGTCTCAAAAAAAAAAAAAAAGTTGTCTCAATCTATATGATACCAACAGAGGATAAAAATTTTTATACCAAATCAGGTGTACGCCTTCCTGGCAAGCGTGAGGTCATGAGTTCAATTCCCAGTACCAAAAAAAAAAAGTATGGGTTTTAGTTTTTAAAAAAAAAATACATAATATGCCCAGCATGTGCAAGGTCCTGAGCTTGATTCCCAGTATCAAAAAAATAAAATAAAAAAATAAACTGGGTGTGATGGCACACACCTGTAATCCCAGCACTCAGGAGCTGAGGCAGGAGGATCGTTGTGAGTTTGAGACCAGCCTGGGCTACAAAGTGTGCTCAGGCCAGCCTGAACTGCATAGTGAGACCTTGTCTCAAAAAGACAAAAAAAAAAAAAAAAAAAAAAAAAAAAAAAAGAAAATCTTATACTATACCCTTTCTAGCTCTTCCTGTTTTTTTCAGGGCCTTCACACTCAACTACATCCCCCAACCCCTTCAAATTAATTTATTTTTTAAACAGGGTTTCACTGCATTGTTAAATTGCCCAGATTGGACCTGAACTTGCAATCCCCCTGCCTCAGCCTCCCAGAGTGTTGGAACTACAAACAGAGACCACTGCCCCCAGCTACCAAGTTTTTATTTTACACCAGTCTGGGAGACAGGAAATGATAGCTCATTGTGGTTTTAATTTGCATTTCTTTTACTACTAATGAGGCCAAGTGTACTCTGGTGTTGTTTCAGATTGTATAAATCTTTCACCTTTTCCTAGTGAGTGGAGTATCCATGCTGAGATCCATGTGGGCTTTTCTCTGTGCAAAAGTTCCGGTTCCATGGAAGTCTTTGCCCATTTAAAAATAATAGGAATTCTTTACATCATCTCCAAACAATTTCTTGCTGATTATATGTGTTGCAAATATCTGCTCAAGGTTTATGGTTTATTTTCTCACCCTCCCTATGTTATTTTTCAATGAATAAAAATTCTTAGCGTTAGAGCCACGCTCACTGGCACACACCTGTAATCAGGAGGATGGCAAGTTCTAGGCCCCCCTGGGCAATGTGGTGAGATACTTGTCTCTAAAAAATAAATAAGTAAATTTTGCTGGGCATGGTGGTGCATGTCTGTAATCCCAGCACTCGGGAGGCTGCAGCGGGAGGATCGTTGTGAGTTCGAGACCAGCCTGGGCTACAAACTGAGTTCAAGCCCAGACTGAACTGCATAGTGAGACCCTGTGTCAAAAAGACAGAAATAAATAAATAAATAAATAAAATTTTAGCTTAATTGTAACCAAATTTAACCAGTCCTTTCCTGTTGAATTAATTGAATTAATAAGAGTTTTTAATCTTTTAGAAAGTCTCTATATTCCAAGGTCATAAAGAACGTTTCCTATATTTTATAATTTGAATATGTATGTGATGTGAGGTTGAAATTTTTTTTGTAGAAATTCTATAGTGGTTTTTTTCCTCAGATGAGTAAACAGTTGTCCTTGTACCACTCCCTGCAATGCCATCTTGTGTCCGTGAGTACGCTGGTCTATTTCTGCACACTCTATTTTGATGCATTGAAACCAGCCCTAACTGCCTTTCTACCACCTTTTAAGTTGGCTTTGCACTTTTGTCAAAAGTTAATTTAGGGGCTGGGGATTTAGCTCAGCGGCAAAGCGCCTGCCTGGCAAGCGCAAGGTTGTGAGTTCCGTTCCTGGTACCGGAGAAAAACGGAAAAAAAAAAAAGAAAAAGTTAATTTAGTACATATACTTGGGTGTATTTTTGAGTTCTCTTCCACGGATCTATGTGTCTGCCTTTCTATCAATCTGCCAATAACACATGGTCTTAACTACTATAGCTATGTAATAAGTCTTGAAATCAGATACACTGATTCTTTCTACTCAATTTTTTTTCAAAACTATTCACATCTACAAAAGAATTTTGCAGGGACTTTGGTAAGCATTGCAGTAAACATGGCAGACAGGTGTAGTGATGCACACTTATAATCCTAGCACTTGGGAGGCTGAGGTACGAGGATTGCTATGAGTTTGAAATTAGCTTGAGCTGCAATAGTCAGTACAAGGCCAGCCTAAACTACATAGCAAGACCCTGTCTAAAAAAAAAAAAAAAAAAAAGCATCAATTTGAGGAGATTTATAGTTTTGCTGTCTTGATTCCTCCAATCTACAAATAGTATGTTTCTCCATTTATTTAGATCTTCCTCCAGGCGTGGTGGTGCATGCTTGTAATCCCAGCACTCGGGAGGCTGAGGCAGGAGGATTGTTGTGAGTTCAAGGCCAGCCTGGGCTACAAAGTAACCTGAAGGCCAGCCTGAACTGCAGAGTGAGACCCTGTCTCAAAAAGACAAAAAAACAAAAAAGATCTTCCTTGATTACCATAATTAGGGGTCTGCTGTTTTCAGAGTACAAATGTGTATTAGTCTTTCCCAGTTCTAGTACACAATACCTGATACCTGCAACTTGGAGGAGGGGCTTAATTGGCTCACAGGGTTAGAGGATTCAGTTCACAGTCCTTGGCTCTAAGAAATACCATGGAGCAAAGCTGCTCAGTTCATGGTGGCTGGGAAGCAGAGCAGGTAAACAGTGCCACAGAGACGATGGGCAAGGGACTACAGAGTACCCAGGCCACACCTCCATGACCTACCCAGACACACCCAGGAAGGTGCTCTTGCTAATCTGCTAGGTATGTCTTAATTCAGTGCAGAGGACATATCAGGATTAATGGTCACAAAACCCTGTGTGCTTTGTTGGATTTACACCGAAGTCTGTCTTTCTCCCCGTTCCCCATTTCTCCACCTTCCTTCTTTTCCAGTCTCCCTCTTCTTCTTGTGATTATGAGTGATATTTTTAGTTTCTTTGGTGTCCATGTGTTCATTGCTAGTACACTCAAGTACAGTTGGTTTCTATGTCTCTTGTGTGCTGCTAACAGATTACTGTCGCTGAACTCACTTTTCTAGTAATTTGGGTTGTCTGTTGGTCTGATTGATTGATTTTGTTTTTTATAGCTGTTTTCGACTTCCTAACTACCTAA